CGCTTCTGGCGAACCAGAGCAGCGCACGGAAATGCCGTTTACCTTCCCGCCGGAGTGGTACCTATTTATCTACTTGCACTTTGATGTGCTTTTGAACTGCTAGGTGGGCAGGAGCTGGGACCGAACAACAGGAGCTCACCCCGTCGCGGGGATTCAAACTGCCGACCTTCCAATCGGCAAGCCCTAGGCTCTGTGGTTTAGACCACAGCGCCATCCACGGCTTGCAGTATTTGATGTGCTCCTATATTACTCTTCATTGAGCCCAGATATTCAGGTCGCAGTGGGTAGGCATGTACGTTGTGGCCCTCTTTCAGAGATGAACCTCATAGCCATCACGCATAGCTTCATAATCCTGACATGATCCACCATAAGGCACTTTGTGTGGTGCTACCATTGGTAGTGGTTCAGAAGCTGTAGCTGGTGCAAAGCATTTGACCTATCTTACGTGGATAGGCTAGTCATAATCATAATGTATTGTGATTGACAGCACTCCAATGCCTGCACTAGCTTCCTGCTGCCTCCCAGACTCAATCTCAGGTGCTGCTGATTATTCCAACTGACCTAAATGATCTTGTCAAAACACACCCCACTGTTTTATTATATCATGACCTTTTTCATTTGAACTGTTCAGTTAAGTCCACCATCTAGTATGTACAAAGTCGTGATTGCCCAGGAACTTTGGCAAAAGTTTCTACACCTGCTTGAAAATCCAGAAGGACCCCAACACAGCTTACAAATAAGGAAACTGAGAGCAAAACACTATATAGCAATAAAGTGGCATTAGATACTGTATATATAAATACAGAAAAATACATTTAAGAGTTTTAGAATGCTAGGGCTTCCCTACCGTTTCATTCTAGAGTAGAAGTACTCAGGATTTGCTGGAATTTTATTTTTGCATTTGTTTCTATTATTATTTTTTAAGTCGTAACTAGTTTTGAGTGATGGAGAGGTAGTGCATAAATATTTGAAATAAGTGTGATTTAAAAACAAATAAACCCACTCTTTGAAGGCTAGTTGTTCCTCCTCAGTTTTTTAAAGATTTCCCCCCCAAAGAAAAGCCTCACTGGAATATTGGTAAAAAAAATTAGTGAATATTAGAACAGTAAAAATCAGTAGAAAAATACTGAGAAGGTTGTACTGAAATTAATAAAGAATCAATCTACAAAATGTAAGTATGGCAACAATAATAATAAATTTATAAGATATTTTGTAATTTGTTATGTTTTATAAAAATGATACAAATACCCTCTGAAATGATATAATGGATGAATGCAAAGACGAAGTTCAATCCTTCATCTTTTAATTCTTATAAACAAATTAAAGAAGACCTTTTTGTTCAATCAAACTTTTAGTAGCCAGGGACAAATTGAGATAAGACAAAAAGGGTTTGTAATTATTTTTTTATTGGACTTCGGAGCTTTGTTCTACCATTGCTACCTATTATGAACTTCCAGAGATGGAAGTGGGCCACATAAAATAAAATAAATAGTCTTTTTGTAGCCCTGGATTTAGATTGGAAGCTATGGTAACTTAAATTATAAAATTAAGAGATTGCATAGGGCAACATTGCCTTGTCTGTGGGTTTTTAACATTGATCCCCAAACAGGTCAAAACAGTGTTGCATGCATGAGTAATGTAGGTTCTTATTTTGCTTTTAGGTAAACTTCTGAAAGACTTATTAGTGCAAGAAAACAGCAGAGTCTGTGAATGTAAACCTCCACCACTTGACTTCTTAAAATAATCAACATAACGTTGTAAAGCACAAACCTCACTCACAGTTCGGAAACAATATTTATATTTAAGGTTGAGAAGCCAGGATGTAGGAAAATCTTGCTAATTTGTAAGGTGACCTTTAAGTGCACAAAACCCAAATAATTTGTCGCTTATGAAACAGGACATTCCTGCAAAATTTGGGTGAGTACTTACATAGTGAATCTTGTAAGACAAAGAAATCTGGAATAAAGTCTTTATCCTCCTCCAAAATAAGATTTAAACCAACAATGGGGTTAACAACAGTGGTCTTTCAAAGACTCCTATTAAAATGAGGGCTCTGCAGCAATTAATGAGAGAGCTCAAAGTAGAAAACTTGAGTTTTTAAAAGAATGGCAAGATCAAAAGTAATTTCTAATCTGTGAGATAAAAGTTTCTTTCTAGTACCTTGCAAGTTAATAACAAAGCTTGTAATGTCTACTGTTTACTCCAATCAAATACTTTTAAATGTTCTTCTTTCTGCCTGCAAAGGGATAATCAGTAGTGACCAGAAGTGTGTATGTTTAAATTATATATTTATTTATTTATATATATATATAAAGATGGAAATGGAATAAAGGAGAGGGGGGAAAAGAAACATCTTTCCTTAAATTATTTGAAAGCATCTGTTCTTTAAGCTACTTTTTATGAACACTTCTTAGTAATGACTGAAGGTAAAAAAGCAGAAAAGCATCCAATGTTAGGAAATTGCAATCCAATACCATGTAATTTAAACCTGCCGTTTCTTCTCTTGTACTAAATGACATACAGATGGATAACTCTGGTCACTCTACTTTGAGAACACAATTGCTTTCTTTATGAGCATATATCTATTACGAACAAACCTTTGTCAAGACTGTTTATTTCTAATCAAGCATAACTCCTTCAGTAATTAGAAAAACTCATTTTGAAAAACATTAGTTTTTCAGACCCAGGCTAACTGTAGACACTTCAAAAGTTTTGATTTTCCTAAAACACCTGTGTGGCTTTTGAATATAATTTTAAATACATGTATTTGTAGCCTAACTTCAGTAGTATATGGCCAAAAACTTAAGTTTTTATAGGTTATTTAATGCCTTCCCTCCCCCACCTGCCCATCCAACAACTGGATTCTTTAAAATATATATTTTGTGGTGATTTTGCCCTGTCAAACAACCCCATATTCATTCTGTTAAAAATAATTAAGTTAGATAATTAAATATATTTTGAAAATGTTGACATCTCTATGGTAGCTTTTGTTATGGGAATGGGGCCACAGACCGCCTGGGTGGGCTACGTGGACCCCCAGTTGGGAACCACTGGTCTAGCGCAATGTGAGCAAGCATGAATGAGCCACAGCAAACCTTGGGCCCATGTATTTCCCTGCCTTCTTCCAGCAGAATAAGTTCAGAATCTTTCACTTCTGCTTTGGGTTTGTTGAAATCATGGCTTCTAGTTGGCTTGTGTCAGACAAACTATACTTAATATTAACCACAGTTTGTTGGCTCTGACAAAACAACAAAGTGAGGTGTTGTGTTGTTGTTTAGTCGTGTCCGACTCTTCGTGACCCCATGGACCAGAGCACACCAGGCCCTCCTGTCTTCCACAGCCTCCCTCAGTTTTGTCAAACTCATGCTGGTAGCTTCGAGAACACTGTCCAACCATCTCGTCCTCTGTCGTCCCCTTCTCCTTGTGCCTTCAATCTTTCCCAACATCAGGGTCTTTTCCAGGAAGTCTTCTCTACTCATGAGGTGTAGCAAAAGTCAAAGATTCTGAGTTCCTCCTCCTAGTAAAGAAGTGCATAGGGAGAGGCGAAGGAATGTGCAAGGGCTCATTCATGTTGTTCTAAACTTTGGTTTTGAGTCATGTCCAAACACAGCCAATGGCTCTTCCAAATTCTCCCAAATCCTCCCCTATCCTGCTGCTTTCGATAACCTGTTTTTTGTCATTTAACATAGACTGGATCATTTTATTTTGCTTAATCATTTTAATGACTCGGAAGACTGTTAATAAATCACACCACTGCCATCAAATGTACATAACCACTTCGAGGTTTTATTACGATCGAGGGGTGCATAAATCCTGTTAAATAAATAACAACATATTCTATAAGTCAAGGGTCGCCAACTTGGCATCCGTGGCTGCAGGGGCACCCTTGAGGTCTTCCCCGGAATCTGCAAAGCCCCTGAGCTGACCCACTCACTGCCCTCTTGGTGATGAATTGGTCACCTTTTTATCTTTTGAAAAGTACACAGAGTGGAAAGAGGAGGTGGTTCAAAGAGTGGTCCTTTTTCACTCTCTCTTTCAGCTTTATGTGCTTTTCAAGGTTCAGATTAATTTCACTGGATCTAATGGACTGACTAAAAGTCTTTTTCAAGCAGAATATTTTAATTTCTAGTACAATATACAGAACAAACAGTAAAGTAGCAGGCATGCTACTCCATGTAGCAATAATTTGCAGATTAATACATTAATTCTAAGAGAGATTTCTTTATCTCTCTCAGCAGTAGCAGGTAATACTTTCCAATGCCATTAATATTTTGGATGCTCCTAAGACACAAGAGGAAGTAATCATGAGCAACCTCCAGAGAAAGTATTTCGAGCTTGCAACAGATTTTACAAAAATCAAATTGATGAGGGAGGAAGGCTTATCTGTTTCTTATCAGCAGCAGGCAAACCTTTAAAATACCATTCATTTAGATCTAAAATGCAAATTACAGCTTCCAATTGAAGTGCTGTCAGCTATTCTCTTTGATGCAAAGTAAAATTTTAAACAAAGAAACATTTGTTTCTAAATTAATGATAGCTAATTACAAAACTTTCAAGTTTCACCGAATTGTGTTTAAACATCATATGCCCATTACCTTTATATCTACCGTTTCTTGCAAATACAAAGGCTGTGCTCCTAAGCATATTTAAAGTTCCATTATGTTTAGGCTCAGGTTGTCGCCTTTTTGTGAATGATTGTGTGAATGTAGAATCTTGCCGATGGTTGTGACTTTTCTGCATTCAGAAGGCTTTGGCTGTATCACATGATCACTGTTCCAATGGAGTCACCCCCCTCCCCCTTGTGAACAGCAGACTTTTTTATTATTACTAAAAAAAAGTTGGATTTGAAGAAGCCACCAGCTGAGGCACTCTAATATATTAGAAGCTGATCTGGTCACTGGGAAAGTAAACGCAGAAGCTGTGTTTTGGCTAGAAGCCAAAGCTATTGTTCAGGATTTCAACTAAAAAGACCCCTTCTCCTGTATCCTCTCCCTTTGCAGGGTCACGTAGGGATAAAAAGAACTGTAAGGTGGTCTTCTCCCAGCAAGAACTGCGGAAGCGGCTGACACCTTTGCAATACCATGTTACTCAGGAGAAAGGGACTGAGAGGTAAGGTATAGCCATGTGGTCAATGAGAAACACAGGCCGCTCCTCTTTCAATCTGCTGCTGTTTTTTCCTCAGCTGACAGCTTCAAGAAATTTAGCACTTGTTTACTAACTTATACAAATTAACACCACCAAGCCAGACAGGAATTTGTGGCGGGGAGGGCAAGGTCACGGACTTCATAAATATAAAACGAACGCTATTCTGTCCCTTAGCTTCTTCTTGGGGTCTGTTTTCAGTTTACTACAAAATGTGTGGAAGTAATGGCAGTTAAGAGAGTCTTTTGTTGTTGTTGTTTTGGGGGAGGAGGGTAGAGACACCACAGTAAGCAGAGCCATAAGGGAAATAGCCCTGTGCCATTTAAAGGTGAAGTTTTGAAGGTGGTCATTGTATGTACAGACAGTTTGGCTGGGGGTCGGCGAGAGTAAGAAGATAGCATATTTTCATTCCTGTTCCACTTTCTGTATTGAAGCACATGTGGAGAAAGTATTTATTGGCTCATTTGTGGCTGGAATGTCAAATATTTTCAATAACTGCCCTCACACGGCTTTAGACCTTGAAAGCAAGCTCTAAATCCTGGAGAAGGTTTGGGGGGGGGGAGAGACAAGAGAGCTAATTCCTAAGGCTCTCGCCGTGAATATAATTTATCTCAGCTGATTTCTAGAATGAGGAGGGGGAGGCGGTCACCTCGGTCAATGTCTATTTTGCTGCATGCAGGTTCGATCCCAATTCGGCACAGTTGCATATTCCTGCAGGGTTGGACTAGATGATCCTCGAGGTCCCTTTCAACTCTTCAATTCTATGATTCTCTGTTTCTTCTGACCATGGAGTTTAAAGTCAGGCCTGCTTCTGTTCCAATAGCAATAGTAGTAGTAATAATAATAATAATAATAATAATAATAATAATAATAATAATAATTTATACCCCGTCTATCTTGCTGGGTTTCCCCACCCACTCTGGGTGGCTCCCAACAGAATACTAAAAACACGATAAAAGATCAAACATTAAAAACTTCCCTAAACAGGGCTGCTTTCAGCTGTCTTCTAAAAGTCAGATACAGTGATACCTCAGGTTAAGTACTTAATTCTTTCCGGAGGTCCGTACTTAACCTGAAAGTGTTCTTAACCTGAAGCACCACTTTAGCTAATGGGGCCTCCCGCTGCTGCCATGCTGCCGGAGCATGATTTCTGTTCTCATCCTGAAGCAAAGTACTTAGCCTAAAGCACTATTTCTGGGTTAGTGGAGTCTGTAACCTGAAGCGTATGTAACCTGAAGCGTATGTAACCCGAGGTACCACTGTAGTTGTTTATTTCCTTGACATCTGGTGGGAGGCCGTTCCACAGGGCGGGCGCCACTACCGAGAAGGCCCTCTGCCTGGTTCCCTGTCACCTCACTTCTCGCAGTGAGGGAACCTCCAGAAGACCCTCGGCACTGGACCTCACTGTCTGGGCAGAATAATGGGGGTGGAGACGCACTTCAGGTATACTGGGCCGAGGCCGTTTAGGGCTTTAAAGGTCAGCACCAACACTTTGAATTGTGCCCGGAAACGTACCGGGAGCCAATGTAGGTCTTTCAGGACCGGTGTTAATATGCAATCTTTCATTCTACTCCCATTTCCCAAAAACCTCCTTTGCCACATGTGGGGTCCTGTTTAATTGGCAACAGTCTTCCTGTCGGAGTCGCCTTTTTACTAGATTTTCTGAATGGGGATCACTGGCACAAGGTTGTCTGTACCCCCACAACAAACTGGTGGTGATGCTTTCCTCCAGCTCAGTAGGCCTTCCAGGCAAGTCGTTTACTGTTGTGTAGAAGATTAGCAAAAATGATTTAGTGTGCACAAACAGTCAGGGTTTAGGTCATTTTTAAAAATCCTGTTTATAAAAAAATATATTGGACCCCCATAAAAAGGGTGAAAAGATAATAAAAACAAGCTGCAGAGCACATAGACTTTTTGTTGGAATAGCACAGCTGAATTGTATTAGTTGAATGACCTCCTAGCCTTTAAGATTGTTAACTTAGAAAAATATTCCCTTAAAGCAGTAATATTCCTTTTCAAATAAAAATATAGAGCTCACACAGCTTGAAATCATGGGCCAGTTTTCTTCTCCTCCTTTTCTGTTTGATTCTCTTGGTAGTCCTGCCCAATCTCCCACAAAGATCTTGCACTACTGCATAGTTTAATGCAAAAGATCAAGACTATGATATGGAAATGTTGTTAAGATGTTTAGTATTGAGGTTTATTTTAAAATTACCATAATGTTCAGGTGCAAAAAAAAAAAAGAGAAAAGGGCTTGATCGAAAACGTCTAGCTACTTGTAAGCAATTCTGTACTTTGACATCTGAACAATAGTTTCTTTTCATAAACACGACACATTTATGTTGCTGTTCAGATTTTAATATGCACCTTTTTTGTTTCTGAAGGAAGAACAATAATTCGCAAACCATGAAGTACCATTTATATTGGAATATACCGTATTGGCCTGAATATAAGCCACACTTTCCCCCCAAATTCCGACTGTGAAAAGTTAAAGTGCGGCTTAAATTCGCAGCCTTACAAAAATTGGCTTTTACAGTATTGCTGCTGAAACAGACATCTGGTAAAATAGAATGAGTGCAGGCGTAATTTTAAGGGAGTGGAGTATATTCAGGCATTGTCTTTTTCTCTCCCCCCCCCCTGAATTTTAAAGGTGTGGCTTATTTGCGGGTGCGGCTTATATTCTGGTCAATATGGTATACGAGTTGAACATAACAATTTCAGTGTTGACGCAATGAGAGTTCCCTGTTTGGGTGTCATAATTTTGTTTGATATGCATTTTGTTGTAATGTTAATGAAATGAAGTTCTAACAAAAATTCTTTCAAAGCGTTAATTCTGTAATGCAACTGCAAGCTATCACTGTACTTTGGAACACATTTTTAAAATAAAAACCTGACTAGCTTTTCAGATACCTTTTAATTGCATAACTTTCTAAAGAAATGCCTGAAGTAACTGATATTAGAGTTTGAAGTCTTGTTTTTTCTGTTATATTTTACTCCAAGAAGACCCATTTATCCTAAATAGAACCCAATAAGGCAAACATTTATGTACAAAATATTTTTTTCAATGTGTTCCCATTGAGATCCCAAGATGAAATTTTGTAGGTAGATCTTAGAAATATAAAATAGTCAATACATTTTTTAAAAAAATCTTTAATCATATTTGTAATCACTTTTTTTAAAAAAAATTGTAACTTAAATTTAAAATTTAAAGTAAGTCCATCTTGTGGCATATCATATTAAAGCCCCTGAAGTTCTGAAGAGATTGGTGTTTTTAGTTCTGACGTATCTCAATGCTGGGCTGAGCTTTTAAGGTTTTAGTGTAGTGCAAGGCAAAAATTGACATTTTTTTTGAAATTTCAAACCCTCATAACTCAAAAAAGGGATGAGATAAAAAGCTAAAATTTAGATTTAAACTTAGTTTTAATATTTAATATTAAGAAAATTGGATGACATGAGGTTATAAAGTTGGACAACTTGATATGAAATAACCTGTTTGCTAAAGTACTGTGTTGCTGTTTTGTTCTAGTGCCTTTGAAGGAGAATACACACATCACAAAGCTCATGGAATATACAAATGTGTTGTTTGTGGAACTCCTTTGTTCAAGTGAGTAAATTAAACATAGTTACAAAATAATGGTGGCTCTGGTTTTTTGAGTGTTACATATGTACTGTAGAAGTGGATGTTAAGGTATTGGTCTTGTACTTCATACTGATCTCACTATGGCTGATGGGAGTTGTAGTCCACAATGTGTGGAGGGTACCAGGTTAGGAAAAGCTGCCCTAAACAGAAGCAGCACAACTAAACTCCTTGTTGATGGAGAATCTCAAGGGCTACATCAAAACTCAACTGTAGCCCGTGCAAGTAAGACTCATCTTCAATTCATACTGGATCAAGATTCACGCAGAGCAAATCAGCAGTGCAGACACATTGTAATAGAACCAAAAACACTGGGCTTTATGTGAGCATAGACTAAAGGATGATATAAAAAGCATCAGTTCAAGGGTTTGCCTATTCCTTACCACCATAAACAAGAATTTAAACCTATGTTGGAAGTTCATAGTCTAGCATTCATTACATTTCTCCACACAGAGTCAGGGTAATCATTATAGCCTCTGCTATATTTGAAGAACCATCACAATTGTAAAATATGAGCAACACAATTTGGCTTCCTTCCCATCCCCTGAACTCCATGTTTCTGAGAGTTGCTGTTAATTTTTTGTTCTTTGCACCATTGTAGTCTGTAACTATGTCATCATGACCTGTGAACCAGTTATTTTTGCCAGGAAAGGGAGAATGGTTCTTCAGCACTAAGATTAACAAACTTCACCTTTAATAGATCTGATTTATGCTGCTTCATTACTGTGTGGCACGTAAGGTCAAGGAACACATGAATTTTGCTCAGCAGATGAAAGACCTGAGGTTTCTTGGTACACGTTTAAAATAGAATTCTACCCTTATCAGCAAGGAACCAGTGAAACTCAATCTCACTCTTCATTTAATTTGATTGTTCCAGCAACTTGAAAAGCTACAAGGTATTTAATTGTGACCACCACCACCACTTTTCTATAATGAAATGTGGCATAGTCTTAAAATTGTTGCCCAGAAAAATCCAGCTTTACATTTGCAAAAATGCAACTGAGAGTCATTTTGCTTAGGAAATTTACCCACATCTGAAGTGGGGGTAATCTTGGCTTTCCCTGTAATCTTCCTACAGGTAGTTATGTTATGAGTCACTGTTACAATAAAAAAAAATGCTTTGTTTCCTAATGAATTGTTTTATAGAAACTTGCAGAAAGAGCCCTTTGCCTGAGATTTGCAGCTTGTGGAATGGGGGAATTGCAGGACCTGAGATGCAGAGTGGGCCACACCCATGCCTGATTTGGGAGGGGAAAGTTTGATTTTATAGTTTTAACTGATTTTTATCTTTTGTACCTTTGCAAACTGCTTAGAGACTATTGTAGCTGAGTAGTATATAAATTGTTTAAACACACACACATGCGGCGCGTGTGTGCACACAGACACACACACACACACACACACACACACACACACACACACACAAAGTGGGAAGCCTGTCTACTTAAACCATCCATGCCCTGAGGATCAGGTGGTTAGGGGTTTCTTCTGCACCTCATTTGATGTGTCATTGTGGGGCATGGTTTTCACCTTTTGCAGGGCAATGGGCTGGGGTGGAGGTATGTGGTAGATCAGTCATAGGCAAACTCCGGCCCTCCAGATCTTTGGGACCACAATTCCCATCATCCTTGACCACTGGTCCTGTTAGCTAGGGATGATGGGAATTGTAGTCCCAAACATCTGGATGGCCAGAGTTTGCCTATGCCTGTGATAGATGTCTAATTTAGCTAATTTTATTTTTGTTTCATCACAACTTGGCCTCTGGACTAGTGGTGAAGGAAGAGCCCGTTAGAAGTAGGACAGAAGAAATGTAACAGGATTCGGTAAGGGAATTTAGCAAAGCTAGGATAGGGGTGGCGGTGTCTATTTAATACTTAACTGGTTTACAAAATAACAAATATAGACGAAAAACTGTGGTACAGTGCCATGCAGTATTAAGCAGAACTACAATGCAGTGCAGTAAAAGAATAAGTTTAACCCCCTCCGTTCACCAACCCCGCCTACCTTCCAACCCCTCTTCCCTTTACACCTGACCAAAATCCTCTACCTTCATCCTTCATCTATTATCCCCTCAAAGTTTCCCTATGCATTTGATAAGAATGGGCAGAATCCAGTTGCCTTTTGCCTGCCCCCTACCACCTTGCCCACATGCTACCCCCTGTACAGGAGCTGCTTGCTACCAGGGGTGACAACTTGAAAAAAATATTTTTTTTGGGGGGGGAGGTAAGCCCCACCCCACATAATTGATCACATGATGTGGTGCATGCACACCATTTGAATGACAATTCCCATTAACTTTGGGGTCCCTGTCCCCCTCAAATATTTTAGGGGGGGCAAAGACCCCTCAGCCCCTAGGTGTTGGCTCCAATGCAAACCACCAGCCACCTTTCCCCATTGGCAGCCACCGGCTTTCTTTTGTATAAAGTATAGAGGTATATACTAGCTTTCACAGCAGGATCAGCCCCTAAAACTCTGCCTATGGCATCTGCCTATATACTAATAATGGCTCTATTAAGTTGTCAGTCCTCATGTTGCAAGCGTGACAGCACTAGGTACGCATATTTGTTTAGGAAATATCTGATACACAAATGGGAAATGAGGTAGCCTGATTGGAATCAAAATTGCCCTGCTTGAGGGAGAGCTTACAAAACGAATTCTGCGGGGCTTGTACAGGAAAATGTCCTGTGGATTGTGCCCAAAAGAAACAAAAGTTGGCAGTAAGATTGCTGTCAGAATTCCTTTTTTTATTATTATTATTATAAAAAATACACTATTTATACCCTCAGAGTAATGTGTGAAATTTATGGCCATATAGCAGGCTCACTGAGTTCTGTATACCCACTCACCCGTTCGTGGCCTTGAGCAGGCAATATTCTCTTTACTGGAAGGCTGTTCACTTGTAATGGAGATTAATGCTTTGATTCATGTTGCTGGTGCACTGTTCAGTACTATTAGAATATATTTTTGGCTAAAAATCTTTGCTTCTTTTCCCACCCTTTGAACATATTGAGGGTTTCTTAGTGGAACAAAGCAACCATTTTCCATATATACTGCCCCTTTTTTCCCTTGGCTTTTCTGACTCTTTCCATCGCCATCTAATGACTTATTCCAGTTAACTTGAAGTTATGGGTTTAAAAAAATAAATTTATAGTGCTTTGCACTAATTTGTTTTTGGGTGGGGGATTTTTATGTTTAACACAGAACAGTTTGCAATTGTTGCTTTGGTGAAAGACCTGTACAACTCCCCAAAGCGCACCAATGTCTTCTTGTGGGTTCAAGGAATCTGATATTTCCTACGTGGCTTGGGTGCACTTCCCTATATTCTTTAGGGCAGGGGTGGGAAATCTGTGGCACCTCCAGGTTGTGGGTCTCCCATCAGCCCCAACCAGCATGGCTTGTGGTCAGGGATGTTGGAGGTTGTAGTTCAACAATGTCTGTAGGGCCATAAATTCTCCATTTCCTCCTTAATAAATACCGCTACAGAAATAACAGGCTTTAGGAAGATTCCTACCAATCAACACTTGTAACTTGCTGTGGCAGGGGTGTGTGTGCGCGCATATGTGTATAAACACACATACACACACACCACTGATGGTTAATTTGTGATATAATTCTGGCTAGAGTATGCCCACTAATTGGTTTGAGAGTTAGACCTAGACAATGCTTCTTATAGCTGTTTCTTCGGATAGGACTAGTCATAGGGTTAATTCTGCTTGACAGCACTTCAGCAGCATCTTGAAAGCAATTACCCAACTTGCGTTTTCCCACAGCTGAATTGAGAGCTTCAAAGGCTTCTGAGTTCAGAACTATCATTAAGCTATATCTGAAACATGATGTTCCCACAAAGGCTAATTTCCCCTCTCTTCCCCACTCCTCCCACTCATTATTAAATCTACAGCCTACTGGGTTCTTTTGTGGTATGCTAAACACATAAGATATCATGTAATAAACAGGCAAAATTGGTAGTATAGAATGGGCATGGTAATTGTATGTTTTGTGTGTACTAGTCTCTTGTTCTCTGGGTTTTCCAGCCTTCTCTGTTCTTAAGGGAAACAACCATTTATTTACTGAGGGGACAGATTAACATGCACATTGATTAAAACCGTCTTATGATGCTTTCCAAAGAAATAAATCTGACAAGTGTGATGATAGAGGATAAATGACATGGTGTTTGTAACTCTCACACTGTATTTCTTCTATTTTTAACTTTATGGAGAGTGGTTGTGGGGTTTTTTTTGTGTGTTCTGTGATTATTGATCAAGGTTTCTAATGTAAAAATACACTGAGAATATGTTTAGGAACAAATGTGTTTACAGATGAGGTGCATTAATATATAAATTTGCTATTTGTACTTCAGTCATGGGTTTCTCATGACATAAACAGTTCTTTATCATTAAAGGATCCCCCCCCCTCTTTCTCTCTCTATTTTAGATCAGAAACAAAGTTTGACTCCAATTCAGGTATGTTTAGGTTTACATTTTTATGTTGACTGTATGCTGTTTTCATGTTGTTCCCCAAAGAGTAATTTATCAGTTCAAGTGCAGTCTTAACTTTAAACAGTCTGGAACAAGCCAATCTTTTGAATAATCTCAGGTTTCAGATTGCCTTAAACAGTGCTATTATTGTGAATGGCAGTGCTTTTATTCCTTTCATAGCTTCAAGTCTCTTTAATTTTACTCTTTTATGTTAAAATGATTGCAAGGAAACCATGTCAGTTCTGCATTAGGTTTTGAATGATATAGCAGGCTGAGAGAAGTGGACTTTGGGAATATTGACTGTTTTAAAAGGATATTTTTCTTCCTGGAGGACAAAGCTATTTCACGGGCACGAAGTCTGAGCAGCCAATACATCAGGAAACAGGTTATTTGTCACCAAATTTTCATGACATGTCCATGTATACTTGCATGCCAGACAAGGCTATAGATTTCTCTCTAGGTGGTTAATTTAAATGTCTGTTTCTTTTAGATATATAAGAAATATTGATGTCATAGGCTCTAAAAAGCAGAACATTCCAAAAGTTAATTTAAATTGAGCAGGAGAAAGTATGCATTCTAGCAAACTGGCTGACTTTCTTAAATCAAGGGTGGTGGTAGAAGAATCTGAGTTGCATTTCCTTCAGCACAGTTTAATGGTAAAATCTTCTTTCCTGCTGAGAAGTTGAAGTGGCTTCCCTATAATTAAAGCTCTCTGAATTCTTTGACAGAGGCTTTCCATTTAGATTTTTCAGTGATTGTGTTTAGCTTTACTATGAGAATTATCAGGCAGCAGCACCTTGAAACAGTTTACTTGTGTCTACATGTGTTAATTCAGAACTGAGAACACTGTGAATCTTATATACAATATGTAGAACAGACTTGCCCAGTTAAAACAATAAATCTTTGTAATGCTGCTGTAAATTCATTGCATTTTGTGCCCAAGGGGTGAGTTAGCGCTGCATAATAGCCCTTAATTATGGGAAGGATCCCTAGATCTGTGGAGATCTGAATCTTCAGCCATCACAAAAACTCTGAAATTCTGGAATATGGCTGTAGACCAGGGACAGGCATAGGCAAACTCTGCCCTCCAGATGTTTTGGGACGACAACTCACATCATCCCTGACCACTGGTCCTGTTAGCTAGGGATGGTGGGAGTTGTAGTCCCAAAACATCTGGAGGGCCGAGTTTGCCTATCCCTGACCAGGGATGTGGAAGAAGTCATGGCCCTCTCAAAGTTATTGAATTCTAACTCCCATCAGGCCCAGCCAGCATGGCCAATTGCTAGGGATGATAGGCACTGTAATTCAGCAGCATCCAGAGGACTGCCAGTTCCCCACCCCTGATTGCCAGGCTTTATAGCCTTTAGTGTATATGTGCATATCTTACTGGGAAGTACACCTGAAACATAGGTATGCATCCTTACCTGTTCTTGCAACCCCTTTCTTATAATTATGTGGTTGTAGTAGTACCTGCTACAACATGGCTGTTTCCTTTGACAATTAAGGTAATGAAGAAACCCCAGGGCATGTGGGAGGAAGTGACAGTAGATGGAAGAGATGCATAGTAGCTTCTTCAAACATGGCCTATGGTCTTCCATGATACTCAGCAGGGCACAGGGCCGTCTTTACCTGGGGGTGCAATGGGTGCGGGGCACCTGGGTGCCGAATTCTGGGGGGCTCGAGGCACCCGCCGCTGAAACCGCCTAAGCTCTTAACTATCTACCTGTTATGAAAAAATAAATAATTTTGATCAAGCTAGAAAAACAAAATACATATATACCTAGGTATTACCAAAATGTATACCTACTGTTTCACTAAAGGACTTTCGACTTCGTGTGCTCATTTACCCAAGATGAGCTGCGCCAGCAGCTGCGCTTGTCGTTCACAACAGCGGCGCTTGTCATTCACAGTGGCACTGTGCACACGAAATTAACTCTTACATCAAAATATTATATTATGTATTGTATTGAGCTGCTATGCGGCAGCAGGGTCAGCAGCACCTTTGACACGACTGATGTTTCTCCTAAGTAGGTGCCTAAACCAGAAGTTTTCAATCTTTTTGAGTCCACGGCGCTCCCTTGACCAACCACATTCTTTCGGCAGCACCCCTGCGGGGCTCAGGAGCCCAGTTATGTCACCCCTTGCCTGCAGAGCTGGCAGCCTCTCACCCTTTTACAAACAGGTGTTCCCTCAGCCTCCTCTCCCCTCTCCTTGGGAGTCCTCTGTGCAGCTACTGCTGCCACCCCTGGTCTGTGAGCTGCCCCCTCTGCCCCAGAAGAAGAAGAAGAAGAAGAGTTTGGATTTGATATCCCGCCTTTCACTCCCCTTCAGGAGTCTCAAAGCGGCTAACAATCTCCTTTCCCTTCCTCCCCCACAACAGACACTCTGTGAGGTGAGTGGGGCTGAGAGACTTCAAAGAAGTATGACTGGCCCAAGGTCACCCAGCAGCTGCATGTGGAGGAGCGGAGACGCGAACCCGGTTACCCAGATTATGTGACTACCGCTCTTAACCACTACACCACACTGGCTCTCACACTGGGTAACCCGGTTACCCAGATTATGTGACTACCGCTCTTAACCACTACACCACACTACACCACACTGGCCAAAGAGAGGTGCCTCCTCACACTGCCCCACAGGGGCCTGGGACTTGTCTGCCCGTTCCCAACAGCAAGGGCTGGCGAACTGGCTGACTGGGCTCCCTTGCCCGCTTGCTTGCTTACTCCGAGGCCACCTCAGCTCCTGGCAATCCAGCACCCCCTGACCACCCCCAGAGGTCACATTCGCCTGCAGAGCTTGTAGCCAGAGCTGCTGCAACAAACAGCTGTGCAAGCCTTGAGGAGGCATAGATGCAAGAGGGCATCAGAGGAGGGAGGGAAGGAAAGAGGGACAAAGGCCAGTGTTGCCCGCGGCACCCTTGGGCATCATTCAAGGCACCCAGGGTGCCACGGCACACTGGTTGAAAACCACTGGCCTAAACAATACTTATAAGTTTAAGTATGGTGGTGTTGTATACTTAAGTATAAGTGTATTGTAAATAAATGAGCAAATAAAAAAGTTTGTTTCTTTTTCCTCCCTTCTTTCGTAAACAAGAGATAAGGCGTAAGCGTGGTGTCTGACATAAGCATAATGAAAGTTAATTTGGGGGCGCTGGTCGGATCTTTGCATATGCTGAAGACAGTGCTGGCAGGGTAGGTGGTAGCTGTATTGCAGTTGTTCTGGTGCCTCCACAATGTACAGGAAGAAGTGGGCTGGAGACCACATTTAGGTTTTATCATAAGATATGGAATAAGCTGGGGAGAGAGAGAGAGAGAGATGCTTATTATCATTGACCTCAGAATTGTGTGAATATTCTAGCAGGTTTTCTCAACTCCTGGATAGAATATGACAATTTTGATGAATAAGTCTACTTGTACTTTTTATTGGGTCTGCTATTACAATTTCTAGCTCATTTAATTAAAGAGGCTCATTTCTTGAATACTGTTTTTGTTGCTCTGCTTCTGAACACTAGTCTAGAGCACACATTTTCTCCTTCCTTGGACAATTCCCTCTGTTGGAGAGGAAATGTATTTGGAAAACCCATTTATAAGGCACAAATAGCTTGATAATTTCTGTGATTTTTTTATTTTTGTGTGGTGAAAATAACATGAAGAATTACACAGATTTATTTCCTTGTAATAAAAGCAGAGTCTGGCATGCAGTTATGAAAGGACCAATTTATTAATTTCAGCTACAAAATCTGGAAACCTCGTACAGGGCTGAAAGACTGAGGAAAACATTGTCTATGCAACATGAATTTGAACCGAACATTTAACTTCAAAGTGAAACAAAAATTTAAATTAATGTTTGATATTCATCATGCAAATGGCTATAACATCTGTACAGAAATGCACATTCTTCACTTTGATGACCAGAAGTTTATTTACTTTAGTAACACTGTAATCTTTTGCTGAAAGAAATTCGTCACTCAATGTAGATACTCTTGTGTAAGAAAACAATTATATTATTTTCTGTTTTTGAAACTTAGTGTCATAGAATAAACTGATGCATAGATTAAAATGTTGCACTATACTTTTAACTTTAAAGAGGTAAGAAATTGAACTAATCGGCATTTCATAAATAGCTGATTGAAGGGAAAGAGGTACTTCTATGGAAATCCATCTTGCCTTGCGGGGAAAAGATTTAAGAGGACAAAGAGTAGTTGCTGGCAAGCAGGAATCACGCTAATATTCTCTAGTAATAACAATAACAATAAATAATAATTTTATTATTTATACTGGGCTGAGGCCGTTTAGGGCTTTAAAGGTCAGCAGCAACACTTTGAATTGTGCTCGGAAACGTACTGGGAGCCAATGTAGGTGTTTCAGGACTGGTGTTATGTGGTCTTGGCGGCCACTCCCAGTCACCAGTCTAGCTGCTGCACTCTGGATTAATTGTAGTTTAAGGGTCACTTTCAAAAGGACTGTGTCTCATATATATTGTACTTATGATGTTATTAATGCTTTATTATTTATCCCAGTAACATCTTCTGTCCAGTATTCTGCAACTTATATAGGTTGGCTTCATATGTGCAGTTTGGGTTTCCTTGTGAGTGATGAGAGAGATATCTTTCTTTAGTAGCATTATCTATCTCAAGTAATGTGCTGTAGCTTCCAGAGCCATTGGACAGCAGGGAGTGCATTGCTTCCAAGAGACCACAGCGGAGAAATAAGTGGTGCAGTTCTTACAGTGGAGTTCTGTGTTTGTTTACTTGGATGTATGTCACATTGTGCCAGACTATGAAAGAAAGTGTTTATTTAGTTTTTGATGACTGCATCTCTACTTTGATCAGAATTTCACTATGTTAATGATGATATATGCGTCTTCTTCCTTCTTTGGCGACCACTCATAGCTGAGTAAGATTGTCTTCCACGAACACAGTCTTAACGGTATGTCCCTAGGTAACTGTGGAGGCCAGTTCTGGATCCACACGTCCTTCCACAGTG